TTAGGCCTGTCGCAATAAACGATAAATCAATTAATCGCATGATAAATGAAAATTATCGACCTCGTTTTCATTTATCGGCTTTTCTTCATGTCTCTCTTTCTTCTGAAGACACTGGATGACAAAAAGCTCAACTCCGGTGTTCTTCACTGACCCCACCCTTTCTCTTTAAAAATCCATTTTAACCGTCCGAAATTGTGTTTTTGGATCGTTAAAAGCAGCTAAGCTGAGAAGCTAAGCTACGAGCTAAACTAACAGGCCGACCTCGGGGGAAAAAAACTTAATTCTTGTCAAAACTCCAAAATTCACAGTTGAAACCCGTGCCTTCGTCTATTAAGTCGTTTTTCTCTGCAAAAGAAGCTGAAAACTTGTTTACTGAGTTTGTTTTAATTAAAAACTTTGTGTGACAAATGCTATGCTAAAGAGCTGAAACCACACTGAGCAGCCGCCATTTTGAGAACCTAAAAACGGGAAGGAGAGACAGCCCATGTTACGTTAAGGGGCCTCCCTCCCATTTTTCTTAAAGAGACACGCTGCTCGCTCCCTCACTATCCATCCTTCAGTTCAGTCTTATACTGCCATCCAGTGGTCAATAAAGGTACTACATTCAAAACTAACCAACATTTTTTTTCTTAAATTTGACAATAATTACTAATTGTCAAATTTCAAACAATATTATCGTTTATCGCAATCATTTCTGAGACGATTAATCGCCCAATAAAATTTATCATGACAGGCCTATGTTAGATTGTGTTCTTGAAGTCTGAAACATGCACGAGTGCACGTCTTATCACGCGTTCTTAAATCTCAGTGTGTGGTAAAGGAAAGACGTTTGCATGTTTTTGTGCGTGTGCGCACGTATCCCTGGTGCATCGAGCCTCTGGACTGAAAGTTTGATGCTTGTTGATCCAGAATAGTTTGTGTAAATACGGCAACGACTGCTTTGTTTTCAGTGTTATCGGGGCTGTTCCTTAAGGTTTTGGTGCTTCTGAATGTACATAGCTGCAGTAAATAACTTCAGACGTTCCAGGTTCGTACGGCCTCGTTGGGGTGATTGAGATCGATGCACATGAATGTCGTGGCAGCAGATGCCTTAATGATCTCTCCACTGTGACTGCACTGGGAAGGTGTTATTTTGTTTTATTTAATCTGCAAGTTTTAATATTTAAGTTGAACATGTTGAGCTGAAACCAGAGTCTGATGGGAGTAAAATCCACAGTTAAAGTAAAAGTCTCGTGTCTTCTGTTACATTCTTTGACTCTTTTTCTGTTACGCCCATCGTTGTTTTTAGGTACAAAAGTTTTCAAAAGCCTCGGTCATCATTAATGCTGAGCTTGTTGCACAAAAACGAGATTTCTTCGGCTGTTCGGCTTCGGCTGTTTATAAGAAACACATTAATCATAAGTATTATAATCTGTAGTATCTATAATATGTCTGCCACCAAAGTTTATGCTGAAAGGTCTTTTTTTTTTTTTTTTTTTGCAACCATTAAAAATATATAGATTAACTTTTATTCCATATTCCCGTTCTACGTTTATTTAAAGAAATTGAATTTGTGTACAAATATGTGTATTTAATTGACTTTAAAGCTGTTAGTGAGGAGATAAACCAAATAAAATGTAAAAATATTTATTTGAAAGTCGATACAGACTGATGTGCAGTCAAATTTGTTGTTAACTCAGGTTTTATTAAATTCAATTCAATTCAGTTTAAGATTTATTTGATAAATAAATAAACAAAATCTTAAATATGAAGCACTGATTACAGGTTTCAGTTATTATTTAAGATTGAGCAGTAAAAAAGTGCCAAATAAATATTTATTAGGTGTTTCTTTTGACAACTTCTCAATTTATAAACTGAGATTAGATTAGATTTAGATTAGTTTGTGGTGATAAAGTTTTTTTTGTTGTATTTAGTCATTATAGTTGGATGATCTGTCTATACAGTATCTTAATCAAGATCAGATGGAAAACTGAACATCAGGTAAATGTTTTGTTTCTAATTTTGACTAAATGTACTTTATTTACCTTTGTAGGTGAAAAAACTTATCAAGATGAGGGAAAACGTTTCTTTCTATTGTTGATTGTTAAAAGATCTTCACGTTTTGATTTTGACTTTAAACGTGAGTTTTCAAGGTGACTTTATTGTCATTCGCATTTTTGAATCAAAAGCTGCTCCGGACAGTATTAAAAGGCATAGGTGCAAATAAAACATCACAGTATCGTCAGCGTAGAAAGGAACATGACGTTCGGTTTATCTTGAAAGGGTTTGTTCAGGTACAAATAAAAGGAAATGGATCGAGAAGTCATCCCTGAGGAACACCTTCCGATTGCATTGAAGCAGACTGAGATAATGCTTTCTGTCTTCACAAAATCCAGCCAATCAGCATTGATTATTGCAAATGATCCTTCATTATTCATTAAATCAAACTGATAAATAAATCTCGATTGGTTTTGCTTTGATCACTCCAAAAAATGGAATTTAATCAAATTAATGATGGCGGGGCTTCTGAATCTTTTACCTGTATGTCCATATAAATGATCCGTTTTTATAGTTGTCTTTTTTTTTTTCTCTGAATTCTCATTTTCCATTACGCATGCTGTTTTTGTATAGATTGATAAACCGTGTTTTTAATCTCATCTTTATGTTTTCTTTTGAATTTCTTTCATGAGTTTGTTTTTATGTTGATTTGTGTCCAGAACATGAATTTTTATCATTTTGTTGGAAAAAAAATTAAAAAGATCATTACAGTGTGACGAGCTTGGAATTGTAAGGTGGTCGTTTTTTAAAAAAGGTTTTCTTAACCAAAGATCTAGAGGTTCAAAATGTTTAATTTGGGAAATGTAAATGGAGAAATAGTTGCCTGAAAACTTGAAATGCTATTTATGTTTCTTAAATGAAAGTAAATGAAACCGTACGGTTCCAAGTTCATACCCGTTTGTAATTCTGTATAAAGTCTCCATAAGTTCATAAACTGTCCCGTCTGCTCGTCCAAACGGTTGAGACGTGTTTTTCTTCAGCTGCGGTGGACTTGGAGACGGGACAGCAAATGTTTTGTTCATTTTGTTGTTGTCATGTTGTTCCCTGCATAAAATAAAATAAAGCACGTGTTCATCCTCTCTTCCTCTGTGCAAACAGCTCTTCTTTAAAAATAATCACCTGAAAATCACAGACTCCTCTGGTTTGAGTTTTAGGAGGTGTATGGTAATTTCCTGTATCTTTGTGGTTGAGGGTTACAAAAGTCAGTTGTTTTAAAGTTTTTAAATTTCTCGTCTGTTCCGGCCTCGGCGGCTGTGAAATAAATCTATTGTGGTGTCCGTGAGCAAGACACCCAATCCCTAACTGCTCCCCGGGTGCCTACAAAGCTGCCCACTGCTCCACCTGGGTGTATCTCGTGTGATGCGTTAAATGCAGAAAACTAATTTTTCCATTGTGAACATACAGTGATGATGACGCATCACTTTAGTTGATAAAAATATAATTAAATATTACATAAGTTCTCCAGGAGAGTCTTAACCGCATCCCAGCTGAGATGGGGAACATTGAGTTCAAGTGGTGCCATGTTCCTCCGCACCTCAATTGTAGAGGTGGCTGCCTTGAGCTGTGGTCGTAATGTTGTCAGTGCTTCTCGTGGTGGACTCACTGGGTCAGTGAAGCTGTCTTCGGTGGCCTCAGGATTCCATCTCTGCTATTTGCGGATGATGTGGTCCTGTTGGCGTCATCGTGCCGTGATTTTTCAACTTCCACTGGAGCGGTTCGCAACAGAGTGTGAAGCGGCTGGGATGAGAATCGGCACCTCCAAGTCTGAGGTCATGATCCTCGGTCGATAAAGGGTGGGTGACTCTGAGTCGAGGGTGAGGTTCTGCCTCAAGTGGAAGAGTTCACGTATCTCTGGGTTTTGTTTACAAGTGAGGGAAGAGCGGAGCACGAGATTGACAAATTGGTTCAGCGTCTGCAGTATTGTGGACTATGGGCCGGTCCATTGTGGTGAAGGAGCTGTAAGGCAAAGCTCTGTTTACCGGTCTGTTTTTGTTTCTACCCTCACCTTTTGGCCACAAACTCTGGGTAGTGACTGAAAGAATGAGATCGCGGATACAGGTTGAAATTCCTCTGCAGTGTAGCTGGACTCTCCCTTAGAGATGGGGTGAGAAGTTCAAGGTTCTTTATTGTCATTCGCATCACATGCAGTACATGAAGTGGAACAACACTGTACTCAAGATCCCAGTTACACCCAAAAAATAGCAAAAATATAAAGTATAAAAGAAACTGTATATAAGGATCTAAGATATACGCTGAACACTAATAATGTAAAATAATATGGTATATTAAAGTTAGTCGTGGAGTTCCTCAGGGTTCAGTGCTTGGACCAATACCTTTATGATTCCATTAGGTAATGCTATTAAACAGCATGAGATAAATTTTCATTGTTATGCTGATGATCCAGTTATATTTGTCCATGAAACCCAATGAATCCAATCAGCTACTTCGACTACAAGCATGTCTTTAAGACATAAAAACCTGGATGACCCTAAATTTTCTGCTTTTGAACAGAAAAGACTGAGGTTGGTTTTTGGACCTGAGCATTATAGGAATTAATTTTTCAGTCTTTCGCCCTTTGTTGGCATTAATATGTCCTCCAGCTCTAATGTTAAAAATCTTTGTTACTTTTGATCAGGACATGTCTTTTACCCCCCACATTAAAAACGTTACGTCAGTTATCCGGGAGAGACTTGGAGTAGAAACTGCTGCGCCTCCACATCCAGAGGAGATGTAAAACAAAAGTTTAAATAATAAATAATTGTTTAAAGGTGAATTTACAACATTCTAAAGGTCTGCTCAGAATTAAACTGTTCCTCCAAACTGAGGTCCAAAGACCTACCTACAACAGGTAAGATGGTAATCGTTCCCCACATCAGAACGATCTGAACTACCCCTTTAAATGTTGTTCTGTAGAGGGACAGATCTGTGGACGACTCTCCGATCCTCTCTGTCTCTGTCCTCAGGTGAAGTCCGTCATCAACCTGCTGTTCGCTGCATACACCGGAGACGCCTCTGCTCTGAGGAGGTGAGAAACACAAACGTGGGCTGAAGTACTGACCCGATCCGGGCGGGTTCTGATTCTCTGTCCCACCTGAAATACCTTCTGATGGTGTCCACAAAAACAGAGGGACAGGACATGTCTCTGATGATCTTTGGTGACCTCAGGTGGCAGGAAGAGGAACTTTTACACAAACAGGACTGCACCTAAAACGAGAACTGATTTTATTGTTTGAACTTTGTTTTTGTTTTTTTAAATATATTTTAAAATGTCCTTCCAGATTAAATTTATGACCCAAAACAAAAAGTTTATTTTGAGTCATTCAGACAAAACGAATGGTGTCGCTGAAAGTGCTGCTTAAAGCCCCCAGCATTGTTCAAGGAGGTTTTAAGCAGCCTG